AATGGTAAAGGAAGCAGAAAACATTAATGGCATAAAACATTGGAATGATGATGACTGCAAAACAGGAGGAGAAGGAAAGAGGACTGAAGGGAAGGATGGTACAAGGAACACGTTTCATTGGCTTCCAAGGGTGAACTGGACAGGGCATGCAGGACAACGAGATCCAAATCTGGAAGAACAAAGGGATGCAGTGGACAGACCAGACGAAAAGAACAGAAAAGGTGAGAAATAATGGAAAAAAAGCTTTTCGGAAATGGGAGAAAAAGAAGGTGTTTGACAGGGCAGCCCTATAATGAGCATCAGTTGACATGGACAAACCCTGATCAAAAAACCACTTGAAGAATTGGGACAGATGAGTAATAGAAGGAATTAATGGGCAGAAGCAACAGCAAATGATCCAAAGTTTAAAGTTAGATCATCATGAACAGACAAAGAGGAAGGTCAATTGGTACAGGATAGGAAAGACTCAAGGAGAGATACCCGGAGCCAAAGCAAGGGATTGGACAATAGTCACGCGAGAAGAAGGATGTTGATGATGTCAGGATGAATGACATCCAGTTGTAGTAGTCCAAGTAATGACCAGGACAAGTGTGGTTGGAGAGTAAGCATATAGATGAAGACCCCTCAAACCAGACTAAAGGCATCTACTCCCAGAGCCAACAGGTGTGGGACCAGAGACCAAAAGGAAGGAATGTTGGTGATCCAGTGAGTGGCAAACACATCTATATGGGATGTTACCAAGTGAGAATACACCAACCAAAACACCTGTGGAGAAAGGGACCACTTCGAGGTGAGAACCTGGATGGGTCGATATAAGTGATCATCCACCAGATTCATGATGCTGGGAACATGATTTGCTAAGATCACCATGTAGTGGTCATGGGCCCAGTAAAGAAGAACCAAAGTTAGAAAACATTATGTTCCCCTTTGCCATGTGATATAGCCAGGAGCAGGAGAAGCTGATACAGAGCCCAATGAACTGCTAAAAGCTCCAGGATGTCGAAAATAGAGAGTAGCCACCACAATGGGCCACTGACCAAAAATCTCTTGGAATAGAAGAAAACCGCAACTCATTAAGGAAGCATCAGGAAACAGGTGAAACTCTGGACAAAGTGGATGAATGGGAACCCCCACTCTGGTCAAATACCCCCATCGAGCCACCAAGCAAGGTCAGTCCTGTACCCAGAGGGAATGGTAATGGGATGGTCCAAATGATTGTGGGAGAAGGTCCATTTGTCGAGAAGTATCCACTGAAGGGAACATATGTGAGCTAAACTGAAGACATTGAGAGGTTCCAAGGAAGCCTACATCTCCAAAAGAAATAGAATCCTTCGCGCAGCGAGAAAAGAAGGTACTGCTATTAAGACTGCTCACTCCATATCCCCAAGCCAAAGTGGAGAAGGCTGGATAGGAATTGAAGAGAAAAACACAATTGAATGAGATATTGAGTGGGGGTAGGATTGGACCTCTCCACTTAAACAGAAAACCCCCACCTGATTAGCTTCCTAGAGAAGCCAGCAGATGTGATAGACCGACTTGGCATGAGAAGATGCAAGCAGGAGCCAGTCATCGATGAAAAGGAGAGTCTCAAGACCTAGCGAGTGAATATGTTGGGCAAAAAACATACCACCCAACAAAAACACATGGAGCAAAAAAAGGACCAAATAGCAGCACTTATAATTGAAAGACCTGACCCTCATGGATGAACCAAAGAAAACAAGACACTGGAGCAGAAGAGTCATTTAGAGAAAATGCCTAAAGTACAAATATAATGGCTACAGAAAATGAAGTTGCAATCAGGTTGATGGAACAAATGTGCAACAAAAACAAAAGTCATAGCGCAAGAGAAAGAAAGGCGGTCATTTGAGTTGATTAGAAACTCAAAAGGCACACATCTGAACACAGACAGTGCTGAGAAAAGAATAAGCTTATGATAATGTGTTGGCACTCGTGGGGATTTTTGTAAATGGAGGCCACATCACCCTCCTATTGGTGGAGGGCTACAACATTTTGATGACTATGTCATAAACTGGCATAATGTAGACATGTGTAGAGGTGGGACTTTGTTCAAGCCTGGTGGCATGTGCAAGAGATTCCAAGCACAAGTTATCCAATATCCTTGTATTAACTAGGTTAAGGGTAAACCATCCAATACCTCTATTAACTATGTCAAGAGTGATCAATCCAATATCTCTGAATTAACTGTGTCAAGAATAAACCATCCAATGTCTGTATTGTCTGTAAAGAGTGAACCACCTAATATCTTTTTATTAAATATCAAGAGTGAACCATCCATTATCTCTGTGTTAACTACAAGCAAAAGTACCCATCACCAGTGATTGGAAAAGTTTAAGTTAATCTATCTATTTAAATTATTTCATGGACTTTAAGAAGGTCAATTGTGCTGCACTCTTGGTTTCACTCAGAGCAAAAGCTCTGAGCTATTTATATCACCAACCATGAAAAATAATTGTTGAGCATTCCCTGCCTGTTCTCCCATAATTTCAAAAGTGAATGTTGAGTTTTGTCTGTATGCGCAGCTTCTCAAATGCAGTGCCATAAAATGGAGACAGACAAATGCTCAGGCAGACACCACGTTTGCAATATATACAAGATGATGAGAGTGAACCATCCAATACCTCTGTATTAACTATGTCAAGAGTGAACCATCCATAATCTCTGTATTAACTATGTTAACAGTGAATCATCCATTATCTCTGTAATTACTATGCCAAGAGTGAACCATCCACTCTGCAATAACTACGCCAAGAGTGAATCCTCCACAATCTCTGTATTATGTATGCCAAGACTTAACCATCCAATACTTCTGTATTAAGAAAGAAAGGTCCACCTATTGAGAGTGCTCAGGGTTTTGTATTTTTGTGTTACATTCATTTTTGAACCTACATGTTTTCCTTACATCATATCTATATTAAGAATGTCAAGAGTGAATTATCTAATATCTCTATTAAATAGTCAAGATTGAACCATCCAGTATCTCTATATTAATTATAAGAGTAAACCAAATATTTTTGTATTAACTAGGTAAAAAGTGAATCACCCAATACAGTATCTGTGTGTTAAGTGATGAGTTAACAATATAATTGTCTGTATAAACAATGCAGAGATGAGTTTACCAATACCTGTGATGTAATAACCACATTCTACTTGAATCCCTTTGTTACGTATGTGGGGGTAAATATGTGTTGTCTAGAAAATTCAGAACATTATTCAAAGTGTAGATACAAATATAAAAGCATTACATTTATTCAAAATCATAATATGGTGACAACATAATTTATAATTGAAACTGATTTAATTATTAACATGGACCTAAAGACTAGTATCATAACAATGCAAGCAGAATGTGAAGAAATCAGAATCTTTTTTAGAGATTATTTACCAAAAATATATAAAATAAATTTCATGGAACTATACAAGTGAATCATCAAAAATGTATCATAAATTTTCTATATAAACTAGTTTTCTGAATTATACATTGTATACAAATAATTGATAAACTAGATATCTGGTTAT